TTGAATAAAAGTTAAGGGACAAAAATAACCGTTAATCAGATAAAAATATTTAAAAAATAGTAGGACCTATTGATGACTAATAGAAGGTAAGTGTTTTTAATGTTAGGGTGATGATGAAAGGAATCTTTAAAGTTAAAAGTCAAAATTGATTCATACTTGAATTTAGGAGAATTTGTGATATTTCGTGTTCAATTCAGAGATAAAAATAAGCCTTAATTCTAAAACTAATGAGGAAAAATAGCAATAAACTATTAATCTCTCTTTAAAACAAAATAATTAACAAAGAAAATAGCGATGCATTTTTTATACCTCTAAAATGAGAAATTTATTGAGAAATTTTGTATTCTTTTCTAAAATAATATGATTAGTGAAGAAATTAGTGTCACATTTTTATACCTCTTTACAAAATAAATAATTAGCAAAAAAATAATGATATATTTTTATGCTTCTATAAAAATAAGATAATTATTAAAATATTAAAAGTGTCAGACAAGGATTTAGCGAGTATTCCATCCCTAGCTAATTACTACAAACAAATTAACTTTTGACAATAACTTTTAATTATATATTTAATTATTTTTATTTAAAAATAAAATTTTAAAATTAACTAAAATATTCATAATAAAATTATTTAATATTTGATATTTACTTTGTTTTAATTTTATTTTTCTTAAAAAATATAATGGAAAAATTCATATAAATATAAATATAAATATTTTTATCATATCAATAATTATTTTTATAATATATTATATGATATATATATATATAATTAACAATTATATATTTAATTTTTCATATGATAACGGTATATGTATTTCCGTTTAACTTGCAAAAGAGAACGCAAGGTTTGGGATTCAAGTTTTGATTTTGACATAAATATAATGAATATATAATACGACAGTGAGTAGGTAACATAGCATGAATCGTCACACATACAGTGACTTTTTTTATATTATTTTTAGCTAACGGCTTACAGCATAGCGATTTGATCCGCATTTTTTTCATGCATAGCGACTTAATCAGCTTTTCTTTTTTGTTTGTTTGTTTTTCATGAAAAACATTTTCCAAACAACTTAATCAACAGACACAGAGGTAATCTCACTGCCGCTGCCACCTCTTCGCTAGATTCCACAAAAATTTGTTAAGTAAGGCCAATGACAACCCATCACAAGGAATGGATCTAGATTAATATATAAATATAAATATAAATACAACAATTAAGTAGTATGTGGCAATTGAATTGTCGACTAAATATTATATGAGTCATTGAGTGATGCCAACTTGTCAAGTTAGCATAGGATTCATTATACTAGCAAAACGTGGACTGCCTTCATCATACTAGCAAAACGTGGACTAAGCCCTCTTTCTCAAAAAATAAAAAAATAAAAAATAAAAACTTTAACATTTTAATTTAAACAAAATATTCTAAAATTTAACATAAAACAAATAAAAGTCTCATATAAAATTTGACAAAGATTTAAAATTTTAAATTTAAGATGATGACTAAAATTTTCATTAATATAAATATGAATCTTACTCGTCATCATTTAAAAATAAAATATTAAATACCTCAGATATAGGTTTATTTGTTGAAGATGTAAGTGTAGATTCAATATCAATTATCTCTACAATTTTTTCTTCATCGCCAATAATAAATATTAATCAAATTGTGTCATTATCAATCAAATATATGGATGTATGTGTGTGTGTATGTAAGATAATCGGGCTTATCAGGGCTTGAAGGGTTATTCGAGCCTGAGCTCTTTTTCACAGGGCCTATTAAGGCTAGACTCTCAAGCTCGATTATTTAAAAAAAATAATTTTTAAAACCTGAATTTTTATTTAAATAGAACGTTCAGGCTCGACCCTCTAAACCTGGCTTTTATTCTCAATTCTAATCACATGCATTCGTTTGATGAGAACCTAACTGATGATAGTGGTTGATCTTTCAAGAGAATGTTGCTCTGTTGGACAGCTAGAGGAAGAGGAATAATAGGCAAATATTACTCCTTTTTTAACCACTTATCAAGAATGAGGAAAGATAATCCAAAAACAGAGGAAGAGAGGTGGATAAGAACGGCAGAAGGACACTATATCTATTCAAAATTTTAAGATCAAGTTTATGAATTTTCTCTTTTTATTATATATAGTAGTTATTAAATTCAATTTTACCGGTTCACGTGTTTCTTTATGGGTTGTACACATGATCACGACCACCTCATAATCTTTAAAAATAGATCAACTTCCACAGGTGCAGCCTCATATGTGGAAGAGGTCTATAGCTCTCTCATGGATGGGTTGATAATCTTAATGGGAAACCATCTCAAGGACCCAAAATATCAATATAAAGGAAAATTCGTGGTGGTTAAAACAAATATCGAATCCATTGACAGTGAGATTGTGAGTCTCTAGGTTATAAGAGAAGAGATAGATATCATAAGAGAGAAGACGTTGAATAGGATCTCAGGATGTTCAACAGCTTCGCTAACATGGCGAACAAGGAGGATGAACAGGACATACGAAGATCAAATATGGGCTTTTGATATGGTTTTCACAGGCAACCATGATAGGATTTCGGGCACCAAATGTTCCGAACGATGATCTCTGTAAATCTGTGCCATTACGGTAGTTTCTTTCTTTTCCTATCAACGAGAGCGCTTCTTGATGTTGATCAAGTTGTCTTCAAGCACAGAATCACAGAACCAATCCAAGTTCCATTCCCAGTCTGAGCTCAAATTAACTACTGCAACAGGCAACTCAAAAACAAGACCTGAAAGGTGGGTAGCTTGCGTGGTGACATTTTCATCATGATGGGCGATTGTTGTATAACATGCATATTGACTATTAACTAGATTTATTTCTCGCACAAGATATTTTAATATTTAAAAACTACAAATAGTATAGAAATATGAAATTTCATTTATTTCATCATCCTCAAGATTAATTATTTTATTTAAATTAAATTTAAATAATAATTTATTTTATTTTAAGTGTGTTGTCGTCCCCACACCTGTGCTCTTCCTTTAACAAATGTATAGGAGGAAAAATTTTGAAATCAGGTTAAAAAAAATATAAAACTTCGGCTAAATTCTGTCCCCATAATTAATTGCAGAAGAAAATTTTCTTCCCAATAAATATTCCTAGATCTTTTGTGGTTCTGTAAATTAAAATTTAAGTAACAACTTTTATTTTATAATATCTTCATACATATTAAAAAATGTAAACAATTTTGAAATTTAGCAATAACTTTATTTTTAAAAATATTTAGCAGTAACTTTCAATGATAATGACAAAGTTCTTATAACTCAATAGTTATTTTATAGTTTCTTGAAGTAATTATAATTTTAAAAGCATATTGAAAAGGGTGAGAATGAAATGTATATTAAAGAAATAAACATAAAAAAAATTAATATGAAGAGAAGAAATGTCAACCATTAAGAAGGGAATAATTTAATTTATAAAATTAAAAGTTATTATTTATAAGATTTATGAAGGCGTGATAATTTTTATATTTAAAGTAGTATGAGAAAGATGATATGAAGATAAATATGCAATCAGTCAATGTATAGTAAGACGGAGACCTTATTTTTGTTTTTATTTTCTTCAGTCCGTTTTAATTATTCTTATTCTCTATAGCAACCAAACAGCTATTAAAGATATATATATATATATATATATATATATTTTTTTTTTTTCTGGTGAAAGCTAGTAAAGACGTTTTTAATACAACTTTTCATCATGTTTATGCTTTTAGATATATTTGGCTTTAGGGTGATATACGCACTTGATAGTTGATATATTAGCTTTCATATTATTGAATAATGAGGCAAGACAACATTATGATCCTGTTTGGTTAATAAAAAAGATTAAAAAATAAAGATAAAAATAAAATGATTGAAAGATATAGATGAATCACATTTATAAAGGAGAGGAGTAATTACTTCATTAGATTGAAAATCATGATTCATGATATTTTTTAAAAATGTGATGATTCTCATATTTATATTATATATTAAAAAGCTTTATTATACTTACCATAAGGTGGAAATGTGAGTTAGTTATTTTTTCATATTTTTTCACTAATCAATTCTATTACATTTTTTTTTTTAGTATCCAAATGGGACCTATATTACTTTGTTGTTCACTCTTTTTTAGTCATTGCTTGAAGGCTCATTCATCATTCCATATACTCTTTACGAGATTAATATTTGACTACATCTAATCTGATAATAAAGAAGTTCATATAACTCAATAGTAATTGTCTAGTTACCTGGAGTAATTACAATTTTAAAGATATTTTAATGAAATTTCTCATCACGTTTAATCTTTTACATATCAATTTTTTTTTTTTGGGCTTTAGGATAGATAGCACACACTTGATATATCAGTTTTCATATTATTTTTCACTTTAAGGAAAAATCCCGGGACAATATCATACTACTTTATCGTTGGTGATCATCAATATTTAATCTTTATCCTATCCATTGTTTGATGACTCATTCCTATTCCATATACTTTGTTGATCCTTATTCATTCACTAGATCTGAATTACACGATATAAATGTGTTCACATGGATCAATCATTACATAAATAATTAAAATATACTCGAAACTTTCGTTTAAAAATATAAAGTATTTTTAATTGAATCTTATCCTCCAATAAAATAATTATCTACTTTTTAACTAATCATATCTTTTTATATTTATTCATATTAAACATCCTATAATAGATATAAAGTCATTATTAATAAGGATACTTTTGAGAAAAAAACAATGATTATACCTCGAAAGATTAAAAATATTTTACATTTTTTAATATTCAACCTCTTAAAAAATGCATTATATTTTTAAATGTATGTAGTGTGTATAGATATATAAATAATTAAAATATATGTACGGATATATAGGGATTAACAAACGGCACAAACATTAAGAAGTCATAGGAAGCAAAAGATTAATTTCCTCATATGTTTGGTAATCACATCAAGGAAAAACATTCTTTCTTTTACCTGTATTCCACGATATGGCTACGAACAAAAAACGCACACTACTAAAAGAAGTAACACCTCAAAGGGAATGGTTTGTCTCTTTTGGCCTCCCCTAAAACAAGGGAAAAATTACTTGATCATGATGAATGGCCACGAAGCAAAAGGGCATCAAACCAAGTGAGGAAACTCTTCACTCCTAATGATCGTAACTTTCCATCGGCTCTTGGTAGTGGAACTAGGCTTTCCGTGAACACTGCAGCCTGAAAGGACTCCTTACGATCAGCTTCACTGTATAGTCCACGTTTGATTTCTCCTGTTTTGAGATTATAAAACAACATCCCATCTCTATCTTCCACAAGAAACAGGTCCCTTTCTTTCAACAATCCCATTGGCTGCTTTGCTCCTAAAATGGGTCCAATACTGTAGCGCTTGATCCAAGTCCCTCCGTCCTTATAATCTTCCATAACCCACAGATTAAACTTCTTCTCAGTAAACCCCCAGTAGGGATATGCAATCACAGCAAGAGATTCTCCAAACTTAGCAACTGTTGCAGTTACACGTCCAAATATAGACTCGAGACCAAATTCAGATCTAGCAGTCACATCCTGTGGCACCCTGATGACTCGGAAAGTTTCGCTCGTCATGTTAAATGCAACAACTACAGAACCAACATCATCATCAGCCCACCAGTGATATTCTCCGAGAACAAAAGCGTCTATCCGAGAATTATGCCAAATATATACAGAAGGTGACACACGGCACTCAACAGTCTTCCAACTGTCAACGCTTAGAGAGTATACTTCAACATGCCAAGGTAATGCTTTACCTGTTTCTTCATCGTATGTACACATGATGGAGACCACCTTGTAATCATTAGTTTCTGGATCGAATCCAAACCCATGAAAGCGATCCACAGTTGAAGATACGTATGGGTCGGGGGCATGTGGAAGGGTTCTAAGCGCTCTCATGGATGGGTTGATAAGCTGAAAGGGAGAGCAACTGAGGCAGTATAAACCATTGCAAGGACCCAAAATATCTATACATGTAAATCGATCATGGTTAAAATCTAAATCGAACTCATCGAGAGTCATATTTTCGGTCTCAGGGTTGAAAGAGAGGAGATAGATGTGAGAGAAGAGAGGTTCGTCAAAATTAGAATGAAAATAAGCACTGATACGGCGAACAAGGAGATGAATGGGCTGTGTCAGGTTATTGAAGGTGCGATGGTGTTGGGAGATGAAGTCTGGGCTTTTGACAAACTGGTTCCAGTCTTTACAAACGCATGAAAGTCGAATTAAATCTATAACTTGCAGCAGTGAAAAGATTTCAGGAAACAAATGTTCCAAACAATCTATGTGCCGCGCCATTATCAACGAGGGCGTCTTGATGTTGATCAAGTTGTCTTCTAAGACAGAACCAATCCAAGTTTGATTCCCAGTCTGAGCTCAAATTAACCAAAGGCGAATGGCATAGCTACTGCAGCAGGTACACATAGGACCTTAAAACTGAGTTAATTATTATGCCGGTGTTCAAAAAAGAAAGAAGGAAAGAAGGAGAACGAAGCAAAACAGAAAGCACCGAACAAGCATGAAAGAGTATATAGAATTCCACCAGTCAAGCTCATCGCCCCCAACAGAGTAAAAATGTATAGCTAACTAAAATACATAGCAAAAATTATGGCAACTTCATGACAACCAAGAAATACTTTATCTATTATCTATTGTTAAAATGGAGATAAACAATCCCCAGTGCCTCTTGCAGATGCAAGAAAGCAATAAAGAGTCAAAATATTGATGCGAAAGGCATTACGAGTTCACAAGAAACAAAATAGCAGGAAGAAAGACTTATATTATTCAAAGGCTAGAGAATGCTGCCTGCAGAAGCCATTGATGACAATCAAATGAAGCCTATGATATAACAAAATTCAAATGCGGATTTTCATTCAACACTAAGACATCGCAAAGATTCGCTCTGGACAATGAGATGAAGTAGAATACCTGTATCACCGATGGATCAAGAAGTGGGACGGAGGCAAACTAGAGTGGGAATTCCGCTTCAGAGCCAAGATGAGAAGAGAATGCTGTAATGTGAGTGACTGACTCTGTGCCGTTGAAAGGAAGGGGATGGGACGTGCATGCGGTTACTTCTTGGTTCTTGAAATATTGGGCCTACAATATGATCTTTTCGGCCCAAATGTTGGACATACTTGGTTGCTTGTTCAGCAAATTTTTTTTTTGTGATTGGCCCAAGGAGATATCAAGCAAGCAAGAAGGCCCAACCCATTAACGTTTCACCACCATTGAATAGGGTGCAGGTTGCTTATTAATTTCGGTATTAATGATGTATTGTTCGAATTTAGAATAATGATAATCATTTAATATTATTTCTTAATATAAAATTCATTAAAAATACATATATATGACCAAGTTTAAAAGATAATTTTATCAAGCAGTAGCAGTATAATTTTATAATGTTAAAAAATAATTTTATCAACTATAATTTCATTATTAATAATATGTTAATATAATAATATCATTTAATATTTATAAGGCCTCTCTATTTATGACTTGAATTGAGATTAATGGTTGTTCTTATGAAAAAAGATACTCGTTTTATTAAAAAATATAAGGATATTTTTAAACGAATCTCACTCCTAATAAAGTAGTTACCTACTTTCAAACTAACTCTATCTTTTCATATTTATTTTATTAAACACCTTACAATAAATATAAAGTCATTTATTAATAAGGTACTTTCAAAAAAAAGCAATGATTACACCTCGAAAGATTAAAAATATCTTATATTTTTTAACATCTAACTTTTCAAAAAATATTTTATATTTTTGAACGGAAGGAGTAATTTGTATGTAGGGTCAAATAAAAAGAAATATTCCATCCATCTAATTTATAAGTTTCTTTTAACATGTTTCATCATAATTGTGGAAAAACTTAAAGTTTATTAACTTGTATAAAAATTAAATAAGTTTTTAATTCTAACCCTATTAAATATATATAGTTTAATAATATACTTTTTCTTATCAACATTTAATAGAAGATAAAGAAAAAAATATGTGATAAAAATTCTCTATTTATAAATAATAACCGATGGAGTATTTTTGTTTTGAGTACATATCTCATTTGAATTTAGTACAACACTTATTAGTAACAAAAAAAGGATTAGGTTTAAAAGATAAAGAAAGAAGCTCAGTTGGGTAGATGTTAGCTTCCTTGTTGGGAAGTGAATGCACAATCAGCAGGCGCATGTTAGTTTCCTTGTTGGTATTTTCCAAACAATATAATCATAACTTTATTAAATCTTCTCTTTTCGGCTGAACTCAATTTCCAACTTTGGCCACTTTTCCTAAAACCCATGACAACGAAAAGAATCAACTTAGAACTGACCTTTCTTTTCGGAGACATTACATCTAAGAATTTTAACATTAAATAATTAAAAACTATGCTAAATGTTTTAAAAGTTATATTTCTTCTGTTTAAAAATGTAAATATTTTTAATCTTTTGATATATAATTATTATCTTATTTTCAAAAATGATCCTATTGATAATAATTTTATATTTATTGTAAGGTGTTTAACAGGGATAAATATAAAAAGATAGAGTTAGTTGGAAAGTAAGTAATTACTTTATTAAAAGATGAAATTTAATTAAAAATGCCTTATATTTTTTAACGGAGGGAGTAATTATTTTTTTTTAGTGAAAAAATATCCATACTCACAAAGAGATTACAAGTTAGGTACCTCTTTTAAACATTCTCCTTCCATCATCCACCATATTAACATAATAAAGTAGGGTTGATCAAAAGTTATAACATACTCAAAACCATTCTAAGCCTGTGTGTTCAACTTGTGGCCACATGTTAACTTTCTTGTACATAAAATTCAAACAAATGCTCCATTCCTTATACTAAAACAATGTAGCTTAGTTGATAATGTCTCCAGAAGAATGATAAACAGAATCCTATCTAGTAATTAGATTAATAGCTTCTACATTGTCAATAAAGACTTGAACATTGAGAAAATTAAGTCCCGACATAATTAGAGTCCATAAATGACCAGAAAACCACTACTAAGTTTTGAGAAAAATTATTATTTTAAGCAAATTTAGCAACAACTTCTCTAAAATCTAGTAGTAACTTGCATAACACCAATAACAAGTCATCATAATTTAAAATATTAATACAGCTTTTAGATGTACTTTTTTTTTTCCGGCTTCAGTGCAAGACACACTTGACATATCACTTTTCAGTTTTCACATGATCAAGATTAGTTTGATCTTCACTCTTGTGTAGGACCAATCTTCCATGCCATTTCAGTACTTTATTCCATGTTGGTTTTGATTGTCCTTTCCTATTTATTAGTCTTCATTCATTGTTGAAAATATTAATTTGAATTATTCCTCTATGGCAATATGATAAAACAATCAAGTCAGAGTCATGCTACATCATGCTGTGCCAGTGTTGGTGTCCCCACACCAACACTAAACATTTGTTCCACAAATGAAACAACTGTAGGTGGTATATTATATTCTTATCCAAATTATTGAGGCAATATTTAAATGTTCCCACGAATATTTAGAGTAAAAGATATTATATAAAACCACAATAATATTTTAAAACATAAAATGGGGGACTAAAAACGTCGGTGGGCTGAACTCAAAATTGAAAAAGAAAAAAAATCATAAATAGATCTCAAAATATTAAATAAATGACAGTTAAGTTCTTAGTAAATTTTTTTTAAGAAAAGTAATTATATACTTAACTTTAATAAGGTGATAAGGTGATTGTTTTCAATTATATTAAGACGTCCAAATATTTTGTAGTATTTCTTTTATAAGAAACTCTTATTATTAATATTATTAACACCTTAGAATCCACTTGTTTTGATTTAGTTAAAAAAATAAATTAAATATAAAGTATTAAGTACCCAAGTCCAGCCTCTTTTTTAAAATATGAGTTATAAATATCAATTCAGATAATAATAAATAAAAATTTTAAATACAATTTGAAAATTATATTTGAAACTTAAAGGTATCATTTGCAATTAAAACTCAAAAATTTATAATTGTCTGAATTAATATTTTTTATTCATTTTTTCAAAAGATTTTGTTGGGACCTAGTTGTCATTCATTGAATATGTTGGGACCTAATTGTTAGACTCTCATATTGAAATTCAAATTCTTATAAATTTACTAATTCATAGCATGTAACTGGGTCCATCTCATCGCTCGTGCCAAGCTAGCAATTTTTGTCTGGGCACGACTCCCATGTAACCTCAATTATCATCCCACACTTATAAACACATGAATCCCTTCTTCTTCCCTTCACGCCATTACACCATGAAGCTTCTCACTACCACTTCTCTTGCTCTTTCCTTCACCTTCCTCATCCTTCTACTCCTTCCCTCCATTTCTCAAGCACACAACATCACCACCATTCTCGCCAAACACCCTGAATTCTCCACCTTTAACCACTATCTCTCTGCCACCCACGTCGCCGCCGACATCAACCGCCGCCAGACCATCACCGTCCTTGCCCTCGACAATGCCGCCATGTCATCCCTCCTTGAAAAACACCTCTCCATCTACACTCTCAAAAACGTCCTCTCCCTCCATGTTTTGGTCGATTACTTCGGCGCCAAGAAACTCCACCAGATCACCAACGGCACCACTTTAGCTTCCTCCATGTTCCAGGCCACCGGTGCCGCTGCCGGAACTGCCGGTTACGTCAACATCACTAACCTCAAAGGTGGGAAAGTGGGGTTTGGAGCTGACAACACTGACGGCGGCGCTCTTCATTCCTTCTATGTGAAATCTGTGGATGAATTGCCGTACAATATCTCTGTTTTGCAGATAAGCCAAGGTCTCACTTCTGCTGACGCCGAAGCTCCGACAGCAGCGCCGACTCAGGTCAATCTAACCTCAATCATGGCGAAGCAAGGCTGCAAAGCCTTTGCTGATCTGTTGAAGGTTTCCAAGGCGCTTTCTACTTTCGAGGAAAACATTGATGGCGGGTTGACAGTGTTTTGTCCAACCAACAACGTTGTCAATGGTTTCTTGCCAAAGTACAAGAACTTGACAGAGGCTGATAAAGTGGCATTGTTGTTATATCATGGGATTCCTGTGTATGAGTCCTTACAAATGTTGAAATCCAATAATGGGATTGTCAACACTCTGGCTACCGAAGGAGCTAAAAAGTATGATTTCACAGTGCAGAATGATGGAGAGATTGTGAAGTTGGAAACAAAAGTTGTGACAGCAACACTAGTAGGGACATTGATAGACCAGGACCCTTTGGTTGTGTACAAGATTAACAAGGTGTTGTTGCCTAGAGAGCTGTTTAAGGAAACTCTTGCACCTGCAGAATCACCTGAGCCAGCAAAGAAGAAGAAGAAGGGAGATTCGTCGGCTGACTCGCCGGACGCTGATGCCCCGGAGGCCGATGTAGAATCAGATAAGGCTGATGACAGTAATAGGACAAGTGGGTTATGTGGAGGGGCAGTCAAATTCTTCATGGTTTTGTTGAGTTTGGCTATGGGGGTTCTGGTTCTATGATTGCATATTGAAAAGAAGATGATTCTCCGTGTCGGTTTACAGCTGTATGGTCATGTGAGAGAATTGATTTAATTTGTGGCGAAAATAAAAACAATGAGACCCACATGATGGATTGGAGCTTGCAGGTGCTCTGTCTTTTTCTTTTTTTAATTTTTAATGGTTCTATATTTGTTTATACATTCGTTTGTAATTTATGGGATTTGTCATTTTCGGTGCGGATGGATGGAATCCAGATTGTACGTGCTAGCAATGCATAGATATATGTACAAGTTTTTTTTTTTTTAAGCAAAAATATGTATAAGTTTACTTTGACAGATATTAGTGGCTTTTTCTCAAAACTATCCATGAGATTCTACATCAGATACCAATATTCACATGATTTCTTATAATATGCCTATATTTAATACAATTACAAGTTGATTGTCTATATCTTGATTAATTTCAAGGACAAGTATAATGGTACAGAAACCCAAAGGAAGAGAGAAACTCCCTCCAAAGAGACGTTGTTATTCTCAAGATTCAAACTAATGATCACAACATAGAGGGAAGGTTCCTATTTATATTGCCATGGTTCTTAAACTGAAAACAGGAAAGTAAATGGGGGGTTAAAAACAAGTTTTATTGTGCATTATAGAAATGTTGCAATGGACGTACACCCCTTCCGTTTCATCTAATCTCAATGGTTCAAAACTACTTCAGCTTTAATGCTTTGACTCCACTCAATTAGTTATCACCTTTGTTTGAAAGATGTTCGCTGTCTTTAATACTTCTCTCTGATTCGGATGAATAGTTTTTACAATAAACTTTAAAGCTTCAACTTATTATGATGAAATCAAATCCATTATGTCACAAAATATCCAAGAGGGGCATGAATCGGAGGAAGATATCGAAGAGGGGAACAACTCTTTTTACTGAATCAATGAATGAGTGAGGCTTCTTCATGAATCTGGTTTTAGATCATAAATCATTGCATGAGATATCAGTGCTGATAGTCACAGACATTGACCCGAATAAGCCCGACTTGCCCAAATTGTCAGCTTTATCTTTTTTCTAGCTTCTTAATTTATTCTTCTATTTTATTTTATGTTTTTTTTTTTAAAAAAGCCATTACCTAACCTGTTACATATGCAACATGAATCTCAATCCCACAACCGTTGTGAAGGGATGAACAAATAAATTCTTCCAACTCTAGTTTCATTGACAGAGCCATGTACTATCACATCTTAATTGAACACTTGCACACAATCAAAGCTCAAAGACTAGAGATTCATCATGAGAAAGCCTAGAATAGGAATCACACCAGAATGAAAAGGAAATTACTTCTTGTGGATTCATGAACAAGTCTACAAACTACCAGATTAACCTTCATAACCAAAATCTCCCCAACAGATGTTGTGCTTTGCAGCAAGATAGTAGACACCGGCTGGCCCTTCACCGCCATATGTGTATAGCTCTGGCACAACTTTCTGCTTTTCCAGTTCAGTCAATAAAGGTGAGATCACTGCCCAAGCAGCATCAAGCTCATCACTTCTAATGAACAATCGCTGCTCTCCTTCTATGGCATCTAAAAGCAGTCTCTCATATGCATCTGGAATCTCTTTTGTGTGCCTTAACACACCAAATAGAATGATCAGCAGATTCCCAAATGAAACGATTTAAACATATTCAGAGAGAAGCCTCTACTCTAATAAGCTGAAAACAAGCAAAAATAAGAAAAATACACTACAAATGGGATTGAAAATAGAAAATACTATTGCTGAATAACAAAGTTAGATTACGAGGGAAATAATGATTCAGACCAATCCCACCTCCCTCATACCAAGCACTGAAACTACAATCAAATAACAGTTAAAGAGTACATGGAACATTACAAAGTACACCCCCACAAAACAGAAGCACAAACATAAGACACTGGACTTTCAAGAGGCCAGTACTCACCGAAACACACTTCACTCTCCAAAAGATTGAACTTCCCTCCCTCTGGCTGAATTGGAGAATTTAAAATCCAAGAAGTTACAAAATCACTGCCGCTACCCTTAGCTGCACCTAATCCCTACTCCTATATTACTTCTTTTCCATTATGGCCAGGACCCATGGTATAATCTTTTGACCCAGCAGATTTTGTTTTGCCCCCATCTATCTTTTTCTTCTTAATTTGCTCCTATAGGCCTTAGCCAATGATCAGCTCTATCATATTCCCTGAAAGAGAGTCTTATATGGTTTTGACCTTGATGTTATATGGTGTAATAGAGAACAGAGTTTATTGCAATTCATCCGTGATAATAATGTTCATACTATTACCTGGAATTGTAAAGCAAGTGAAGATCACTGCATTCAAATCTCATTCCAAGACCAGGAACCTTGTTGTTGATCTTCAGATAAATAGAATGATCAGGTTTATCTCGAAGAACAAGCTCATTTGTTGTTTTATTTAAGTCAGCTCCAAATCTTTGATTGTATAGGTTGCCTGGGACATGTCTAAATTGCACTCGGATTTCTGCTCTAATATTCCAGCAAAGTACATTTAGCAAGTCTGCTAATTGTTTCAGCAGCTTAAACGAAATGATATAATAAGTGAATCCACTCACCGATTTGAATGAAGACCTTTACCAGCTACCAATAGAATGGGAACACCTTCCCATCGTGCATTGTTGATGAATAGTGTTGCAGCTGCGAAGGTGGGAGCGAGATTGTCATTTAAGACAGTTAGCTCATCATTATAAACAGGATATCGTGAACCACCATTGCCATTAATCTTATATTGACCAACTACCACATCTTCAAGCTTGAGGGGTCTCATGGAGCGCAAAGCCTTCACCTGATTTAATGTCATGCCCATGAAAATAGTCAATGGAAATAATCATCAAGCTTTACATCTTTAATATTGGAACAATCAAACCTTTTCATTTCTAATGTCTTCAGAACCTAAGGTGAGGGGTGTCTCCATGGCAAATAGTGCAATGGTTTGCAGGAGATGACTCTGCATTATGTCACGGATGATGCCGTAGTTGTCAATACTTCTGTAGGAAAGCAAAACAAGTGTTCTTAGTGAATCCCCAAGTCCACCAGAAAGAATTTTGAGAGTGGATGAAATTGCTTCTTTACTTTACTCACTATATATACTGACCTGCTTCGTCCCTCCATGCCGAAATCTTCACAAAAAACTACCTGAATATTGCGGATGTAGTTCCTGGACCATAAAGGCTCAAAAACCAGATTTGAGAAGCGAAGTACCAAGAGATTTTCCACTAACTCCTCAGCAAGGTGGTGGTCAATCCTGAAGAGACAATTTGAAGGCTTACCTCATGCATGCAGTAATGCTGCCCTGCTGAATTGAACTACAGAAGAGCATACCTGAATATTTGGTCCTCTGTTAGGTATTGTTTCAAAGCTATGGTCTGATTTTTCGATGAGTCTGTATCATGACCAAATGGCTTCTCAACTATGAGCCTCGTCCACCCATATTTGGAAGAAGCACAATGTTTGGTGCATCTTGCAACATCCACGCATAGGTTTGATGGTATTGCTAAGTAGAATAACCTATTGGAGATTCTTCCATCCTGAATTTATCCTTTAAAGAATTAAGCAAATAAACATTGATCTACGAATTAATGTCCAAATTGAAAATGCTATGCTATGCATGTTGCACACCATTATAATGAATGCTCATTCAATGAAATAAATAATATAGGTTTATTACTTGTTGAACTTAATTTGGTTAATATGCCTACGTTGTGAATTTTCATTACAATTTTGTTGCTGCATTGTTGTATATAATGTCATACTCTGCATGCCCAATTGCTTAAATTTGAACTAATTGATTACAATAATATGCACAATTGCTCAACATAAACCAAGTTTTTTAGGAAAAGAGAAACGCTTAAAAAATTCTATTTGAGCTTGAGTGACTAAATGTACATTACAGCTCCACAAAATATCAAAACAATTCACACAACAGTTTGAAGTCCACGTGCTTGCGATGAAATATAAAAGCAGAAGGAAGGAGACTAAAATGTCTTAGCATAGCAATAATACCTCTCTTTCTTCCAGCTTCTTGTTCAATTCCATAAAATGCTCCTCAGAACTATACTGACCTGAATGATAGAAACAACATTTTAGGAACTCAGCCATCTTGCCATCACAGTTGTCCCTGCAATTCTGAAAAGATTTTATTAAGAATTGCAACAGAATCAAATGAAATACATCACAAAGAAAGTGGCTGAAAAGGACCTCTCAGCAACTCTGCAGGTAAGATTTTTACTAATTAGATTTCTTAGTTCATGGTCAGTCATTGGAGTACGTGCGTAGCCTGATATCGTGAAATGCTGCAAAAAGTTAATCAGCAGCAGTCACTAATTAATGGCAATTGGCAAACAAATATAAGTTGAGTTAAGAAGATAACATAAAAGGAATGCTACCTGAGGCAAACAGCCTTCATAAAAGAGTGCAAACAGAGCAGGGAAGATCTTCTCCTTTGCGAGGGTTCCTGTAGCCCCCACAACAACAATGGTTAGTGTGGAATTCGCCTTGTCTATTTTCAATACATTGCACCCTCCCTCGGCTGGAGTCATCCGCTGTTCTGTGTCAAGAATATTTGTAACTGATCTGCCTACAAGACACTACAACTTTGAGTTCTTCAATGTGAGAATGAAAAGCATAAGATACTCTATTTTGGTTTTCCAACGATTCTCATGATGGTCATTAAAAGACTTATTTTCATTCATTTTCAATGTAAGACAAAAACAATTGGAAACAAGTCAGGAGGTGGTCTTAATCATTAATGCTCTTTGGTATGGTCTACCACTATCTAGCCCACAACACATTTTACATTATATATCTTGGATTCACATGCAATAGAACATAATGGTTCATTGGCATGACTGTAAAAAAAGACAAATGGAACAGGAAATGTTTGTTCAATCTGTGAGAAATGATACAGGATGGGTTATTGAGGTTCTAGATTTCCAAAAATGTAAGAGGCGCAGGAAATTGTCATCTCATGACAGAGCTGATTTTATTGGTGAAAATCTGATTGATAAATGCAGTTTGTTAGATTTACAAGGAGGGAGCTGCCACAGATTGTTGTCGGAATTGAGATCGACACTATTCTGGGTTCATCAGGAAGGAATAATTCTCACGCCACATCTTCTTGATATTCAAATAATTTTACCAAGAAAGAGTTTGGTTAAAATGTTGTCAAATATTTATCTCCCCCCAGGCTTTTATGTCCATCGGTGTATGACATTCAGGCCATTACTAGTAGATTTTTTAACTTCAGTAGGCTAATTTTTTAGGATTAGTTATTTTTTGTTGTGTAAAGCTTTTATTAAAAAAAAAAAAAAAACTAGTTCCTCCAACAGTGATTGACACTGTGACATTGCCAGTGCAAGTAATGGAATGTCATGTTTTCTATGATATGGCATCCTTGAATACCGAAAATCCTCAACAACAGAAATGTTTGGACCGAATTTAAATCCCAGGAATCAAAATGAGAAACTGATCCTTCACCAAAACACAGTGTAGTCAGTAAAAATGAAGTACCTGTATCATAAAAGCCTAAGTAATATACTAGACCAACACTCGAATCTAACTATGAACCTTGGTTTTTTTTTTTTTTTTTGGGGGGGGGGGGGCGCATTACATGACACAGCTAGTGGCTTAACATAGAACATTTAAGTATGAAAAACTTTCCTTAGAAGCAAAGGGATCAAAATAGCAAGGTCGTTTGCAGCACCGAGGGTGAACATTTGTTGGAAGAGGACAACTGCTTTTCTCTTTCAATTCAATATTCAATATCTGACACTGAAACAAATCAAACATCAACCTGAACCAGATATATGCTCGCTTAGTAGCTAATTAGAACGATAATAGCATCCATATTTCGCTTTTAACTATAATGCACGGAATCCTATTTTGTTCAAAACAAACCAGAGCTGTTCCATAAATGAAGTCTCATAAAAACATTCTCTCGAACACGTGGTTCACATAGAATTATATTAATTGTTAGGATCGCAAGAACCCACCATTCTGCGAATGAACCCCAGCCGAAGGATGAATACAAGCTTTGATCTCAAGACGCCTGTTTGAACGTGTTCCGAAATTGCTCTCGCGAACCCAAGTACCGAAGAAGCTTCTTCGGGAAGAAGAAGAAGAAAACCCATAAGTAAAGGGTAGAGGCATGCAGTTTCGCAGCGAGAAAACGCCCATTGGATCTTTTGGCAGAAGATATAAGTTGCTTCAGTATAACAAGTCTCCGAGAGGTTAAGAAGTAGCTGAGCTATCAGACGCGGGTTAAATGAATTAAGCATTGTCATCATTTTCTCTCACGTTGATCCTGGAAAACACTTAACTTTCAAGTGGAATGGCAAATCAGGTGCCAAACTAACTCAATTCGGTTCAGTTTACCATATCGTTGAAACTTTGACTTTCAGGTGATGTCAAGATTCAAACGCCAACATCAGTGTACGAAAGAGGTTGAGAGTCCCTCCTGAGAAAACGAGTTAAAGCTCTTCGTTTCGCCCAAATTATGGCCGCAATACACCCAATTCGAAGACATAGATGTGAGTGGTAAACGAGCATTATATATACGCAAGTATATAACAGAACTTATAAAATATCTAGGACTGAAAAAACCGAGTTGGCCAACTCGAGTAAGCAATTTAACAATCTGATACTTGAGATTGAGAATGAACTTCCAAGAAACGCGCACCGCTCCTAACAATCCTATGAGTAAACGCGCCTTATCGAATCATTTTAACAAGGCATGTTTCCTCACTTTGTCCAAAACATAAAATAATCCTATTCATTCATGCAAGTGATGTTTCTTCTTCTTCTTCCTTTTTGAGAAAAGCATAGATGCCAATAATAACTTATTCATTAAAATATACATTTAATTGTTTAATTTTATATAAAATTTTATTTTAATCCTTTAATTTTATATAATATTTTTAATTCTTTAACATTAATAGTATTAGTTTTATCCCAATAAATTTTTACTTTTGACTTTCAAATATTGATAAAACACTTTCAAATGTTAATATATTAAGTTTAATTTTGTTAAATAACAATTATTAATATAAAAAAATAATCATTTAAAATTAACGATATTAGAGTTAAAAAATTAAAAAAATACTTTATGAAATTAAAAATTAAATTAAAATTTTTTATAAAATTAGAGAACTAAAAGTATGCTTTAACCTAACTTATATTATTCATGATTTGTTAGGAACATACTTTTTTTTTTTGATATATTTTATATTCTTATATAACTTATTTTGGCTTTTTAAAATAGTAAAATAAAATAATCATCCAAAACCTTAAAATTTTTACCATCCCCAAGCTGAAAGTTTGATATTTTAGTTTAGGAAGAATACCAGCAAGTCCTAGCAAAAAAAAAAAAAAAAATCAGGACCCCTTAAACATAAAATTTGAATTTGAATGCAGCAAATATCTTTCAAAAAATTCCCAACAACACAAAATTAATATTAACAAAGAACTAAAACCTTTTCAAAATCACTTGAGGATTAGAGTTTAGAATTTTAAAGTTGATTCACTTAAATATAATTTACAAAATTTAAATTTAAGCGATTGTCTTTAATGGTGAATGGAAAGAAAATGTGGAACTTGACAAGATCAAACACGAACTTTCAACTCCAAGTCATTCTTGCAACTTCATTTCAACACACAAGCATTCTCCAAAGTGGACTCATGTCACGTTACACACCAAACTTTCCTAGCTAAAGATCACATACCATTACACTGCCACCACGATCCTATACGTTACAACAAATTATTCATTCACAACATGACGCAATTTTACAAAGTCGCCAATCATTTACCACGAAACTATGAGAGAGGAGTGAAAAAGAAAATGTCATCAAGACGATCATTACTCGGTGAATTCCCCCCATAAACCAACAACCCCTCGTTGCCATCCCTCTGGCCACTGGCAAACGCACACCATCCCCGAGGTCCAGGATGACCGCCGGAACCCGGCTTATCATCAAGTCGTTTCCATGCCAATGTCTCTGTGTCCAACGCATAAACCTCACCGGAGAACTTGCCGGCGCCCAGATGACCCAGGTCACTAGGATCTATCTCTCCTCCATATATGAATATGTATTTCCCAATGGCAACACTAGAGAATACACTCCTAGCAGTGGGCTTCTCACCGGTTGTTTCCACTTGGGCCCAGCTCTTTTGGGCCAGATCAAAGCAATGCACATCGTCGGCTTCGTTGCCAGTAAAGCCATAAACGACCCATATTTTTCCTTGGGCCTCTGCAAGCCCAGGCCCACCTCTCCCTTTGCAATTTTCCCCGGGAGAAGGAAATTGCACCCACTTGTTCTCTGCAACGTTAAATGCCCACAGATCATTGAGCCTGCCGGAGACACCACAACCACCGAAGACATAAACATACAGGTCATCGGCGGTAATTGAGTGGTAACTCCGGTCAGGTGGTCCGACGACTCCGGTGGAAATTAAGGTCCACTTGTTAGTCTTTGTATCGAAAGAATAGAGCTCATTCAGCTCTTTGTGCTCAGCATCCCTGCCACCAAAGACGAAGATGGTGTCTCCGATTGCAGCCATTGTAACACCGACGCGTGGCGGCGGGATGTCGCCGGAAACGTCAGCCACAGTCCATGTCAGAGATTCGAGATCGAACACGTGGAGCTTGTTGTCCACGGGAACACGAGGCGTAAATTCACCCCCAAATACATAGACCTTCTGCCCTACTATGGCAATAGCATGTGAACTCCTTGCCCCAGGCCCTGTTCCATTCTGCTCTAGCTGGGGAAAAATAACCAAAAAAAAAAAAATCATGTAAGTTAATTCTATGTATATTCTTTTTTATTCCCAGATTCTGAAGGCATGATATACGAACATACTTTTCCCCAGGAATTAAGCAGAACAGAGTAAAGTGATAGCTTGATATTGTTCATGATAGAGACTAAAATTAGTATTAGGGAGATAAATTTAACAGTGAAACAATCAAAAGATGGCTTTGCGTTAAAATCTCCATCTAATCCTCTACCCTCAGAAACCTAAGTAAGGTGGGGAAGTACAAATGAGTCCCAATTTGCCGATTTATCCAAATTTTTCTGTCATTTCATGCATTTTTTTTTTTGGTGGAAAAATTAACACAGATCTTCTACTAGTTATTCCAGTAGTTTAACAGTTTAGTACTAGTTTTAGATTTTTTAAGTATTTTTTAAATCCTAGATCATGAAAGGAAGAGTAACTGTCAATTAATTGCGTAACAAGAAGATGCAACAAATCTTAAATTTGCAAGAGGAAGTGTTGTGAATTAGACAGAGGGTGAGTGTTTAGAGAAACCAAATCAGGAAATCACAGAAGCGGATGAATATTGAATAAGAAGGAGAAACAGATCTTATCAATTTTCAGAGAAGCAAATAATCGGTTGAGATTTCCAAAAATTATGAACAAATTGAAAGAGGAATGAAAAAGAAAATCGCGAAGAAACAAAAGAAGAGAAGATTAAAGAGAAAGACGAAGAGGGTCAGAGACCTTAACCCATTTGCCTTCGACCACAGCCATCTCTGAGACTCTCAGAAGAGCTCTGACGTATGCCCAAAATCCAAATGTAGCTCTCTTCACGAGCGTGACCGATTGGTACGGATGCCTTTATATAGAGTTGAAAGTTAAAGGAAAATATGAAATATGATCGGCCCAAATATCATGAGTAATATTGCTCTTACTTGAGTGATTTTCTTTTCAATATATTTCTTTATATAATTAGTCATTATTTATAGGTTGTGTGAGGCTTTTGGATTTATTTTTATTTAATTACTTGCATGTTCTTTTTTTTAATTAAACCAATCAGCAAAATAATATTAAATGTAGGCATCTTTTTTAATGTTATTTAAATCTTAGTTTGATATGTTATGCCAATAGTATTTTTCAATAAATTCAATCCTAATTCTTTTAGGTTACTTTAGATGGGTGAATTTAAATTATGAATTTAAATTATTAGCGGTCTGATCTCAATAGAAGTTGGCAGTCTGGTTTGGATTGTCGCCTGCACTCCAATCCCTATCGACACAAGGGGTTCGATCCCAACTGAAGTCGGCCATCTAGCCATAGCTAGCACCAACAGTGCAGTCCCAGTTAGCAGTAGTGGTTTGGTCCTGATTAATGGTGGCAACATGGTTCTGTCAATTTTAGCAATCTAGTCTAAATATCGTTGGCAGGCCAATTATGCTTTTGTGTATTTGGGTTAAATATAAAAGAGATTGAGTTAAAATTTAAAATAATAAAAGTTTAGAAATGATTTCAAATTATAAAAAGATTGAGGTAAAACTTAGATTTGAATTTAGGGTTTAGAGCCAAATCTATTCATTTTTAATTATTCAAATAATAAATTTGGCTTAAATTTAAATCCAAATTCATATATATTCGAACATAGTATCAATGTTTTAATTATGGTTAATTATCACTATTTCTCGTCATTACTTCATAAAGCCATTTCATATTTCATTTAGATGGTCGAATCTTTCCATATCTTCATAAGACTTTCTTTCACTCATTTTACCAGTTCACTTTTAATTGTTGTGATTCGAAAACTTATTCTCTTCTATTACCATTTTGTTTTTCAGATCAAGCCAACTAATTTCTTGTAATTTGCACCGTCACGCTTTTTTAGAAAAAAAAGGTTCTTATTAACTTTTTTCGGTATTTTTATTAAAAATTAAAGATTAAATGAGGAAATTGTCCTTAAACTTTATATTCATTAACACCATATTTCCTAAACTTATTTATTATATAAATTATTTATTCAACTTTTGAAAACAAAGCAATATGCTTCTTTTGTTAATAAAAATTAATCTTAACCATTAGTTAATCATAAAATAATAAAAAATGATATAAAAAATTACAAAAAATGACTAAAGAACTTTTATTGTAATTTTTATGTCCTTTTTATCATTTTTTAATTAATAATAGTTAAAGTTAACTTTTCTAAATAACAAATGCCAAATTGTAATATTTTTAAAAGTTAATGAAATCATTTGTATAATAAATAAATTTAAGATCTATGATGCTACTAAGCCAAAAGTTCAAAGAGTAATTTATTAATTTATCCTAAATTAAATGATGAACAATAAGCCTTTGATGAAGATACGTCTACTTCTCGATACTAAGTTATAGTTTTTTGAAATAAATAAAGAGAAAACGATAAAAAAATGTAAATGAGAATTAAGTATCGTGAGATGTGATAATTACTACTTAAATAAAGAGAAAACGATACAAAAATAAAAATTAGAATTAAGTATCGTGAGATGTGATAATTATTAATTAGTTTATGAAGATTTAGCTTGTATTTGATTTTTAACGAAATAACATATATGCCCTACATGTCTATTATATATATTGAAAAATGACTATTTTAGTTAGAATATTGAACGGAACATAATAGAAAATAATTATTTTCTTTTTGTAAATTTGTTTATCAATCAAATGTAACTAAATTAATCATTTTTAGTCATTTTCTAATTAATTTATAAATAATAAATTTACAGAAAAGAAGTAGTCATTTTTTATTTTGTTTTAATCAATAACCCAATTATATTAATCATTTTTTAACATAAAAGTCATTAATTTTTTGTGTTTATGCTTAACTGATAAATATAACTTGCAGTAAGAAAGCAGTTATTTTCCCTCATTAATAAACAGTGATAAAGGTTGATTATTATGTAATTTTTATTGAACGAAATAATTTTGTAATTGATCTTGACATTTCGGAAAAGGACGAAAATCATACAAAGCTGCAATGTCCGGATCAAATGAATTCCAGAATAAATAAATTAATTAACTAATTAACAAAAAATAAATATATGAAGTGGCAATTTGTATTAGGGTTGTTTTGTATTTTCATATAATAAATTCATCAATTGGATATTAAATTTTGATTCTCTTCACAAGCATGCATCATGTCTCGTCATCTAACTCTAAGTTGAGTTAGTTTGACATTATTTGATATAAACTTATTATCCACTAGGTGGATTTAATTTACACTACAGATGATGAACCACTTTACTCCCTTTTTAATATCATAACCATTATCAATAGGTCTTTTTATTTTTATTTTAATAGAAATGAATTTATAATTCACAAAAGTCAGCCAATAAAGGGAATCATATGACTCATGATTTTTGTTTTTTGTTTTTCATCATACATAGTTACAACTACTCTGACGTTGATGGTAATCTTGTGAGTTATGGGGTGGAGTATTGTACTAACTATTAATCAATACTTTTGAGAATTGGGTTGGCCAGTTTGATATGTTGAACTATTAAACGGTATAGTATCCACTATGGATATAATAAAAAACTAGGAAACCAGAAGTCTTGAATTTATATATAGTTGGACTGATCGGCCAGTCACTTGTTTTTTATGTTTAAATCTTAATCCATGTAAACACTTTATGCTTATCTATACCAAAAAAAATATGGGGAAAAGGAAAGAAAATAAATAAACATGCAAGAAATATGCATGTAACATTTGTATTCTAATATTATGAATTATAATTATGAAATAAGTATATAAAGCTTGCATCAAGATGATGGAGAATCTATGGATATGACCTTTTTTACCTTGCATAATTTTTCTTTGAATTTAAATACTAATTTTTGATATTATGGATGATTATTTCTTTTTATTTTAGTCTTAAATTATTTTAAATATATTAATTTAGTCACAACCAATTATTAAACAGTGAATCAATGTCTTGACAAATTCAACAATAATAAAGTTTTCTTTAATATTGATGGTAATAATCAATCTAGCAGTTTATAAATAGAAACTACAAAATAATTTATATTAAAAATCTGTACATGATACATCAATTTCATAACGGCTGACTTTGAGATTTTTTTTAATTATATTTGCCTTCCTTATTCTCATAAAACTCATTTATTAAATGACTTTGAGATTTTTTTTAATTATATTTGCCTTCCTTATTCTCATAAAACTCTTTTATTAAATTTCTTTGGGTAACATCAAGATCAATTGATTTGATCTCACACCGAAAACCTATGATAATTTTCATGTATATTACTGCTAGCAAAATTATAGTTTGAATCCTCCTCGAAAACATTGTTTTAAAAGCTATTTTGCCACATCATATTGTTCATACGACAGCTTCTCAAGATTAAACAAGCTTTTCTTATAAAAAAAATGAGGACATAAAACAATAAAAATTTAAAAAATAAACTCATATACTAGCACAAATGAAGTAATATGATAGAAGAGGAGAGAAATTACAAAAGCTCAAAGGCCCATGCTTTGAACTTGTGGCTAGTGCTACCTTTCATAAGCAAAGACTTAGAAAGACTAAGCAATAAAACTACCTTAATCACAATTAAAAGTGTGTTATAAAAATAATGAGGTTAAATAAATACATTAAGTAAGGGGTTATGGTAATTCATATCATTTATTACAAATAACTTCTTTTTGAAATACCCAATATATTTGATAATATTTAATAATCTCCCACATATTTAAAAAAAAGAAATTTTTTAAAAACTATTTTATACAAATAATTTTGTAACTTTGTAAAATAGTTTTCAAAATTTTAAAAAATTACCCAATATCACATCTAACTAGTTGGCATAGGTGTACTTCTTCTCTAAGTCCATTTACTTGTCCAAGTTCACACCTTAGTATACATGGACTTTGGCCACCATTCATTTGAGTAACATGGAACTTTTCTTTTTGATATGACTACAACAATTTTCCACATATGTCAAAAGAAACGCAATCATTTGAGTTATTCACATATAAGATAATCACTTTCAATCTAGTGTCTTTTGATTTGAGCCAAACCTTGACCAATAAAAGTTACCACACAGAAAAATTGGTGTAACTTATTATTGAACCAACAGATCTTAGGCATGTACTAAAAGCCTCATTAGTTGGATTATACCCCCTATAATTTCTATTATAAACAATGGTTTTGTATATTATCGGCCATGCATGTTTTTAGTTTTAACAAATGCTGAAAAGATTTCATTATGATCTCATAGAAGCGACCTCACTCTAAATTTGTATAGGTTCTATCATCAAGTGTATATGCAATGAATATACCTTCCAAAAGGACTATGAAAATTATTAAGAGCTTTTGCTCAGCTTCTGATTAATGCATTCTAGCACTTTTTTAAGTCATAGAAAAGAACAAAAAATTTAGTGCTAACAAAATTAATAAGTGACTTATTCTTACGCACTGAACCACCTTCATGGGATCTTCAATCATAAAAATTAGGTTGCCATCACCATTAATTTTAAATAAGCTTAAGTCTCATTTTCCTTGACATTTTAATAATTACAATCATTCTTAGTGGCTAGTTAACGGATCTATCAAATTTACATCTGATCTCACATAATCAATTGAGATAACTCTCTCTTTTAGCATGTTTAATTGTATCTTAAATAATATCTACCGATGCTATCGTTCTCTTTGCAATGACTATCACCATTTGGCAATTACACAAATCATCGACATAATATGCGTCAGTTTTACTCTCAATGTAATATTATTCACTGAGAAGTTTCTCAACTACTTAGCCTTATTACTAGCTAATCTCAAAGTAATATACTTTGGCTTACATAATATTTTATTTGCCTACCAATGAATTTTTCCTCATCTTAATATAAAATTCAATCACTTTATT